AAAATGCCTTTGAACATATATGTGGGTCTGTTTCTGGACTCTTTCGTTTCTTTGATCAATGTTTGTCCTTTTGCCAATACCACATTCCCTTGATTACTATAGCTTTATACTAAGCCTTGAAGTAATATGGTATCTCCCAGCTTTATTTTTAAAAGTGTTTGGCTGTTTTAGTTCTATTACCTTATGGTATAAATTTTAGAAGCAGCTTTTCTATTTCTGCAAAAAATTCTGCTGGGAATTGGGGGAGGGCACTGATCTGTAGTTGAATTTGGAAGAGAATTGACATTTCAAAAATACTGCATCTTTAAATTCATTAACAGAATATGCCTCTCAATTTATATAAGTCAGCTTTGATTTCTTTCATTGATTTTTTTTTGTTTTACATAGAGAGTTTATCTGTTTTGTTAGATTTGTACCCAGACATTTCTCTTTTTTTTAGAATTTTGGATTTTGATTTTTTTTTTTAGTTTTGATTGTTTTTTATTTCTTGGATTTTGGTTTAATGTAAATAGAAGTAATTTTTTTATTTCAATTTTCAGTTCTTTACCATAGAAATGGTAGATTTTTGTATATTGACCTTGTATATTGTGACTTTCCTAAATTCAGGTATTAGTTCTAATAGTAGTATTATAGATAACTTGGGAATTGCTATGGCTAAAATTATATTACTGAATGGAGATGGTTTTATTTCTTCTTTTCCTACTTGTCTTTTTTATTTCTATTTTTCTTGCCTTATTGCACTGGGTAGAAACTCTAGTATAATAGAATACCTGTTCCTGGTTTTAGGGGTAAAACATTCAGTCTTTCACTTAATATGATACTAATTTCAGGTTTTTTTAAGATAGATTTTATCAGGTTGAGCAAGTTCCCTTCTGTTCCTAGTTTGCTGAGTTTTTGTCATGAATGATGTTGAATTTTGGCAGAAATCTTTTCTGTGTCTGTTGGCGTAATAATATAGATATCTCTTGATATGTGGAATCACATTGCTTTTTAACTATTGAATAAGCTTTACATTCCAAGGATCAACTCCACTTGTTTACGATCTTTTTTTCCTTTTTACATATTGTTGAATTTGATTTAAAGATGTTTTGTTAAGGACTTTTGTGTCCTTAGGACTTTTCATGAAGGATATTGATCTATAAGTCATCTTTTTTCTTTCTTTATTTTTTTTTTCTTTTCTTTAGAGAGGGAGAAAGGAGTGGGGAGGGGCAGAGGGAGAGGAAGAGAGAATCTTAAGCAGGCCCCACGCCCAGCATGAGCCTGACATGGGGCTCCATCTCGCAACCCTGTGATTATGACCTGAGCCGAAATCAGGAGTCGGACGCTTAACTGACTGAGCCACCCCGGAGCTCTGATCTAGAAGTCTCCTTACACTGTCTTTGTTTGGTATCAGGAAAGTACTAGCCTCATTTTTTTTTTTTTTTTTACCAGGATAGGGGAGAGGCAGAGGGAGAGGGAGAATCTTAAGCAGGCTCAATCTCATAACCCTGAGATCATGTCCCCAGCCGAAATCAAGAGTTGGATGCTCAATCGACTGAGCCATACAGGCACCCCAAGGCTCATTAACTTGATTAATTTTCTAATTTAATTTGATTTATGTTTTCTGTAAGAGATTATATAGAACTGATATTATTCCTTTAAACTTTGGAAGAATTTTCTAGGAAAACATCTGGCCTTCAATATTTCTTTTACAGAAGGTTTAAATTATTAATTAAATTTATTAATAATCACAGATCTCCTCAGGCTGTCCATTTCATTTGGGGTGAGTTTTGATAGTCTGGTTTTTGAGTAATTCTCCATTACATGTAAGTTGTCAAATTTGTGTGCATAGAGTCACTCATAGTATTATTGCCTTATTTACTTTTAATGCCTGAGACATCTGTAGTGATATCCCTGCTTTCATTCCTGATGTATGTTTTCTGTGTCCTGGTATGTGTCTGATTTGTGCCTTCTATTTTGTTCTTTGGCAGTTTTGCAATTATCAGATAACCAGTTTTTGGTTTCATTGCTTTCTATTTCTTGATTTTCAATTTCATTAATTTCTGCTCTTTATTATTTTTTTCTTTCTGCTTGTTCTGGGTTTATTTTGCTCCAGTTGTGGATTTGACACCTTTGTATTAATATAAGCATCTCATACAGTAATTTTCCCTCTAAGCATTGCCTTATTTGAATTCCCCAATTTTTGATAATGTGGTATCTTCATTTTCCTTCAAATCAAAATAATTCCTTATTTGCCTTCAGGTTTCTTCTTTGACCTATGGATGATTTAGAAGTTTGTTGTTTACTTTCCAAGAGTTTGAAGATTTCTAGTTAAATTCCCTTATGTTCAGAGAGCATGCTTTGTGTTTTCTAGTCTTTTAAATTGAGATTCTCAAATATGTAGATTTATGTCTTTCACCAAGTTTGAGGTGTATATATCCATTATTTCTTCAAACATTTTTTTCTGCCCTCCACCCTTCCTTCTGTGACTTTAATGGTGTAATTCATTTTTGTCCCATAGCTCCCTCAGCAGGCTCTGTTTTTTTTCCCCCGGTCTTTTTTCTTTTCATGGCTCAGATTGCATGATTTCTGTTGATCTGTCTTCAAGTTCAGTCTGTCATCTCAAGTGCTGGTATTCAGTCCTGCTAGTGCATTTTAAAATTTGGCTATTGAATCTTTTCAGTTTTAAAAAAGTTTGCATGTGTTTCCACTTTATATATTCTGTTTCTTTGCTGAGACTTTCTCTTTTCTATCCCCTTCAAGAGTTCTCTTTTACTTTTAGAGAATTTTTATAATAGCCCTTTTAAAATCTCTTTCAATTAATTCCAACCTCTGTCTTGTTGTGACATTGGTGTTTGTTGATTGTCTTTTCCTGTGTGAGTTGAGATTTTCCTTGTTGTTTGTAGGTTGAGTAGTTTTGGATTGTATCTTAGATCTTTGCATGTTTTGTTATGAGACACTTAATTTTGTTTAAATGATACAGAGAATACTGTGGGATTTTGGGGGTTTTTGTTTTTGGTTTGGTTTTAATTTTAAAGCAGGTAAACACTCTGGTTGGATTCAGGCTATAATTGACAACTAGCCAGCTACCTTTGGATTGTGGTTGTAATGTCAGTTCTATTTCAAAGCCTTTGCCATGCTTGTCAGATCTGTTCTTAGTATACATCTTTCAGAGGCTAGATTAGGTCTGGGCGATGGTCTTAGTTTATTTCTCAAAGTCTTTGATATGCTGTTTAGGATCTGATTGAAGCCAAAGTGCTGCTGAGGGGTGAGCCTAGAAAGTTACATACAGCTTTCTGGAGTCACTTTCCTGAGCTGGTACTTCATGGTCTCCCTGATATTTTCTCTTTACCTGGGGATCCCCTTTTTGTTCCTTCACCCTGAAAGCTGATGTTTTATTTTTCCTGTTCTGCTACTTACTTTCCACAGCTATGACCATGTGCAAGACAAAAGTGGTGTATACTTGTGTTGTGTCCCATACTTTGGGGTTCCTGCTTTGTAGTGGGCAGGAAGATGATAACAGAGATGTTTGAAAATAAGCCAGATTTTACAGCTCCTCTTTTCTCAAATATATAGTTATATGTAGGACTGTTTTTATATGTCAAGGTATTTACAGCAGAGATGAACTTTTACTGAGATGAATCTTGTAAAATTTCTTTCTTTTTTACTTTAAACATTTAACGTGGCATTCTAAAGACATTTAGTTATTCATTAGGACATTGCCTTCACTCTCAGGTCAAATTCTTAATCTCCAAAAAATATAATTTATTTATTGTAGAAATTTGACAAATGCTTATTTTTTGCTGTCAATCAATATTACCTATTGAACTTTACTAAATACACATTTGTAGACCCCATACCTAGAGATTCTGACTCAGTGGGTGTATAGTATAGTAAATAAAGAAGAAAATGACCTACATGCTATGTCTTCTACTTTAACATTCTTCTTTTAATACAGGACACGTCTGTGGCCTAGACTTCCTCAGGACAGATATGTCTGAGGAGGATTATGATGGTAGCACTCTTGAAGGTTGTTGACTGAGTGGGTGTCCCAAGGCAGCTAGGTACCATCTGAACAAACCAGGTGTCCAGCCACACTTGTGCTGCCTTGGTCAGGGGCTCAGTCCCTCACCATCATCCCAGGCATATTCTTTACTGGTTCATCTTTCTCAAAGTTGTCTGTGAGTTATTTAACATGCCATTTCTTAGTTGGTTGTTCCTAACCAGTTCAGCAAGGGGTAGGCCTTAATTCTTATCTTGTCATTTTCGTTATTGCATTTAAGGATGAGAGTTTAATTTTTTCAACTTCTGTTGAAGTGTAGCATACATCCCAGTAAGGTGCTTAAGATATACCAGTCGTAAGTGTACAACTTGAACTTTTCATATGTACTTACCCACATAACCACCATACAGTCAAGACATTTCCAGCATCCTAGTAGATTTGCTAATGCTCTTTCCCAGTCAGTAGCCCCTTTCCCCTGAGTCAACCCCTGTTCTGATTTCTAGCACAATAAATTAGTTTTTCCTGCTCTCAGGCTTCATATAAATATGAAGGGGTATACACACAATATGTATACCCCTGTCTAGTATTTTTAATCAAATGATTTTTGTGGCCACGCCTTGTTGGGTTATTGTTTCTAAGAAGAAAAAATACTCAAAAAACTATATCTAAACTAAAGCAGATTTAATTTGACTTTCATTTTGTATTTTTTGGAGGTGAGTTAATCTTCAAATTTTCTAGGAAATTTTCCATATTCCTTTTCCCACTCTAAAACTTTCAGTGGCTTTTTGCTTCATCCACTCATGTAGTATCTTATTTATTTCCACAAATTATTCTTGCCCTAGCTCTCTTTTTCTCTCTTCTACATTTTATTCTACCTGTGCATAGGGATGAAAAGATTTCTGAAATCTTATTTCCTGTTTGTTCTTTGCCATGCTAGCATTTGGTTGGGGTGAATTCAGGTTGAAATGAGTGTCTGCAGATACTGTATTAATCTCATGTTTTCCTTCTCTTCTGACAGCATGATGGAAGTGGTTCATTGCATGATATTCAACTCTCTTTGCCATCCAGTCCAGAACCAGAAGATGGTGATCAAATATATAAGGTATGACTAGGAGTCATGCTAAATTTTTCAAAATTCTTTTTTATTACTACAATTATAAAGCAGTAACAAAACATTTAATAATAAATGTGTTAAAACCTGAAGCTTTGCTGTGTTGAGTTTTAATCAGGTCTGTTTTTAACTTTTGCTACCTTACTAAGTTAAAATGATATCACGGTGGTACTTTAATTTGAATTTATTTTATAATTTGGATAATTATTTGTCTATTACTGGTGCAGGATTCTTTTTCTTAAAAAAATCAAGAAATTATTAAATTTTTAAATTCTTTTCGATAATTATAAATAGCAGTTTTTAAAATATAACTACCAATTAAAATGATTAACAGGTACTCCTCATATATAATCACAACATTGAAATATACAGAAAATGAAATTAATTTATCTTTTTTCATGTTTAAAAGTATAATTATAGAAAACGGATGCATTTTAGTTTTTGAAAGTATATTTTTTATAATTTTCATTTTTAGTTGAAAAAAACTTTTTTCTGGGTACCTGGGTGGCTCAGTCAGTTAAGCGTCTGCCTTCAGCTCAGGTCATGATCGCAGGGTCCTGGGATCGAGTCCTGCGTTTGGCTTCCTGCTCTGCAGGGAGTCTGCTTCTCCCTCTGCCCCTCCCTCACTCCTTCTCTCAGTCTCTCCCCCTCTCTCTCAAATAAATAAATAAATCTTTAAAAAAAAAAGAAAGCTCTTTTCTTTTGCAGTTATTTCTGAAGTACTATTTCTTTTTTTTTTTTTTTAAAGATTTTATTTATTTATTTGACAGAGAGAGACACAGCGAGAGAGGGAACACAAGCAGGGGGAGAGGGTATTTCACTTCCAAATCAAGTCAAGTAGCCAACAGCTGTTATTAGAGGTCAGAAAAGCATAATTTTCTCGTAGGATGTAGGGTGACTTACTGGCAACAAGATTGTATATAAAACAACCAAAATCAAAAGAATATAGGATTAATGGTCACATCTGGTTATCTAGTCTTGGTTTTTCAACATGTTATCTTACCTGTTTTTGCACAAATCTCTTCCCATCTCTGTGCTTCCATCCTATTGTGGGTATGTATAGTATTCCAAATCAGCAGGTCTGCAGTAGGACATCTCTTTTTTTTTAAAAAACCTTTACGTATACACCAGTTGAGAACCATTGACTTAGATGGTCTCTGATCATCTCTCAATTTTAAGTTTTGTGACTGACATTTTTAAAGTAAAGTTGACTTTTCCTGCATTCTTTTTTGTGAAAAACTTTTACAAATAAAGAAATAATTTTTAAAGAAAAAATTTAATTCCAACTTTTTTACACAACTAGTGTCTATTTTTTTCTGTGTTCCTTTCCAGTTTGTCTATATATTTAATGTTACATGATAAATATATTGTTACATGGCATTTATTTCTTGTCCCTATTCCATTTCCTTCCAAGCAGGTAGTTCCTAGTCTTCCTTCTTTTCCAAGGTGAGATACTGTTTCCAGTACACTGGACTTTCTTGCACTTTGATCATCAAATTCCCAGTTATGTCCCCTGTTCATCCAAGATGGTTTAGCATACAAATATGGTGACTTGTGTCATTGCAAATTTAGGGTCTGAAATCTCCACTGGACCTGCCATATCTCTAATCTGTCTTTTATCTCAGGACAGCTCCCTCTCCCATTCCCCTGATGAGCTAGTCTCAACATTGACCACTCTCTTCAAGCCTCATTCTTAGCCACTCTTCTCAGTTTCTGTAGGTGGCCTTGTGTTCATCAAGCAAGATCTGCTACCTTCCTTTCTGCCTTCTGACTTACCTATGTCTGTTATCATTCTCATTCACTTTGTTCCAGTTATAGGACAAAAATGGCCACTATGCTGTGGAAGACCATCCTTTGTTAGGTTCTTGACTATCTTCTGCTGCTGTTAAGGACCTAACTAGCTCCTCCTCTCTCATCTCTCTTCTCTGTGCTTTCTCTACTTTCTCTTCATTCTCAGTTTATAAATTTCTGTATCGTAAATTCAGTAAACCAAATAAACTTTTCCTTGACTCTCCTTAAACCTTTTTCCAGTTAACATGGAAGCCTGGAAAGATGAAAGCAGCTACTTGTTTTAATGCTATAAACATTTGGTGTGACTGTTGTCTTAAAAGGTTTATCCTTTATTTTTCTGTCACTTCTCTATAAAATTCCTTACACTCCTCAACATTTTTCCATATTCCCATTTCCTTCGTAGGTTCCTTCTCTTCTTTAGAATAGAGATTTATATATTTTGTCCATTTCTCTTTGAACTTTTTACTGTTGTGATTTCATATATGACATATGTGTTGATAACATATACAATTTCTCTTTCATACTTGGTGATCCACTTGCCTACTGTACATTTCCACTGTGTCCCTCCCACAGGTACCTCTAATAGTATATCTGAAACTCACAAATATTCCTCTTTGGATGTATTTCTCCTCTTTTATTCTCCATATCTTTTGGTGGCACAACTAATCACCATATCACCCAAGCTAGAAATATAGGTAATCACTCTTGACTGCCCCTTGTGCTCTTTCACATGGAGACAATCACCAATATCTCCTAATTTTCATTCCTGCTCTTCCTTTTTCTCCCTATTATCATTCTCTTGGGTCAGGCTCCTACTGTCATCTGAAGTATTACAACATCTTGGTAACAAGTTCCCTAGTCTAATTTTGTTGTTGTTGTCAAGTTTGTTGTCTAAACAGCTGTCAAAGACATCTCAAATGCACTGTCACTCCCCTGGCTTATTAGGCCATGCTTGATGTTCATGGCCCTCTATGATTTAGCCCTTGCCTAGTTTACTAACCACATTGGTACCCACTGTTCACTATAGCCTTTGTGCGACAACATCACTGCTTGTAATTCTCCAAATATGCTATGCTTGCCTTCGTCTCTGTATTGTTGTATGATACTGAGACTCTCTTACTCCAAAATTCAAAGCCTGACACACTTCGGTATCTTCAGAACTTTTTACTCATCCTTTAAAACTTCCCTGGAGTTACCCATTTCCTGATATGTTTTTGCCCATCTTTATGTGTAAAATCCTTAGAGCAGTGCCTGTCATAAATAAAGTTAAGTATTATGTACATGTTGGTCATTAATACGTTATCACATTGTATTTGGATTTCATTTTCAGGTCGGTTTCTTCCAGCACTGGCAGGACCTAGCAGTGACTGAATGATGGCTACATAGTATTTCATCAAATTGCTACATTTTATTTCAGTTGCCCCCTTTTTGGACAATTATAAATTTATCTCTTTCATACTTGGTGATCCACTTGCCTACTGGACATTTCCACTGTGCCCCTCCCACAGGTACCTCTAATAGTATATCTAAAACTCACATTGTTTCTTTGGCATAGTTTCCAGGAGTGGGACGACTGAAGCAGAGTGCAAGCATTTTTATGACTCTTCTTTGGCATAGTTTCCAGGAGTGGGACAACTGAAGCAGAGTGCAAGCATTTTTATGACTCTTCTATGTACAGCCATATGTTTGTCCAGAAAGGCCAGTTTTGATGTCTGATAATGTACCATTTTTTCCTGCAATTTTGTTAATCACATTGAATATTTCTCCCCCCAGCTTAATACCTATAAAATAATACCTTAATACTTGAATTTGTATTTCTTCAACAAGTCATATAGAACATTTTACCAGTTATCTGTATATTTGTAAGAACTGGTTTATTTGTCTTGGGGCCTAGAAAATGATCTGTATGTTTGAACAGGCTCTTAATATACTTGAGTATAAATCCTTTGTCATAATTGGATAGGGTTTCACCAGCTTTTAACTTCAATGATAATTGTATACATACTTTAAAATTTTATATAGTCAAATATACTTATCATTTCTTAATAGCTTCATTTGCCACATAGCTTAAAAGTGTATCCTTCACGATCTGCAATCCGATTCTCTCTTTTTTTGGTCTTGATTTATGATTACAAAAATTAAACTCTTTAAATTCAACTGGAAATCATTTTTTATATATAATAAACAGTCTTGTTCAATTGCGGTATACATAACAGCATTACAAAAATCTTTTCTTCCCCATTTTTGTGATGCTTATATATATTGTTAAAGCCTTTGTAAAATGTCTGTTTCTGATCTCTTGTTAAAGAGACTGCAATATTTTGTTTGTTCCCAATGTATCTGCAAGAGATGCCATACTTTGCTCAGTAACAACATATTATAATTATTTGCTTACATATTTTTCTCTCTAGAAAGATATATCATTCACGTATATATATTTTTATTTCCTTGCTTATACTGTTTCCTCAGTATGTATTTCTGGATAATTGAATAGTAGTAAACACAGTGGACTAACTATAAGGTAATGATACTTTACACTTCGAAATGTAACTGGATTCCTGCTTAATAAGCTTGACAGTAGGTTTCCATTTAATACTATTAGGAATTTCTTATAGACTAAATTGACAGGCAGTTCTCAGGAAAGTGGTTCATGAAAAAAAGAATCTTCCTGTTACCCTGCCATGAATATTTATCTTTCTGCTGATTTCTGAACCAGCTGTGAAATGACTCTGTGCCTTTAATTATGCTGTTCTTCTGTTTGTTGTGCCCTGCATTGTTCTTGATAGGCAACTCTCATACATCTCTTTAAATCTACCTGAAGTTACTGTTTTATATGTAATTTATTTTACTATTGGCCTATGTCCCTGTTTCCTTATCTGCAAAGGGGGGATAATAGTATCTACCTCAGGGTCTCAGGGTCATACTCAGGATCAAATGCTTAGATATCTAAAAGTACTTCGTTCTTAGCACCTAAAAAGTACTTAATGTTAGCTGTGTTGCTGTTATTGTTCATTTTTCACATGTTGGTCTCCATTACACTATGAATTCTTTTTTTTTAAAGATTTTATTTATGGGGCGCCTGGGTGGCTCAGTCATTAAGCATCTGCCTTCGGCTCAGGTCATGATCCCAGGGTCCTGGGATCAAGCCCTGCGTCGGGCTCCCTGCTTCTCCCTCTCCCACTACCCCTGCTTGTGTTCCCTCTTTCGCTGTGTCTTTCTCTGTCAAATAAATAAATCTTTAAAAAATAATAAATAAAGATTTTATTTATTTATTTGAGATAGAAACAGAGAGCATGAATGGGGTGAGGGGCAGAGGAAGAGGGACAAGCAGACTTCCCACTGAGCATGGAGCCCCACGTGGGGCTCAATTCCAGAATCCTAAGAGCATGACCTGAGCTGAAGTGAGACCCTTAACCGACTGAGCCACCCAGGCACCCCTACACTATGAATTCTTAGAAGACCAAAATGGGTTTTTGTTCATTTTGTTTGTGTATAGGTTAATAGCTGGCATTTTTAAGAAGAGTTTTCCCTTTAATTTCCCCTTAACAAAAACCATTCATTATTCAGTCTTCATAGTTGATTTAATGCTTGCTAATTTTTTAAATATTTCAGAATGAAGATTTATTAAATGAAATAAAACAACTTAAAGAGGAAATAAAGAAAAAAGATGAAAAAATTCAACTATTAGAACATCAGCTTGTAAGTATTATAGTATAGTACATAAAGTAGAGGCTTTTCAAACTACACAATATATGTGTTTGTTTTTTATAGAAGTCTGGCCAGAACTGAAATTTGACTTTATTTTTGGCTCTCGAAGTTGCACTCTTGTATTATATGCACTCTGAAAGTATGTGATTTACTTCAATCTAAATATTAAGAAAGTTTTGTCTAAATATTAAGTATTCAAAGTGTAAAGAAAGTCTTCATCAATCCATTTTCAGTGGCCTTTATTTGGAGGTTCTGAAATTCACCAACTTATCGTTCATGTTATTTGATGAAGGGTAAATGTGTTTCTTCATATATGTTAAAGAAATGAACTGGTGAGTTGAGAGCAGTATTTTTTTTCTTTCTGAGAGCAGAAATTAAACTGGATTTTAGGGTTAAGTTTCTGTAAGTAAGACTGTCAGAGTGAACAGTAGTCAAGAAAATGTTTCTTTCCATGGATGATATTGAGTGATCCCTCAGAGTCATGTTTGGATCTTTGTAATTTTATAATTGTTACAGTTTCAAATGTTAGTCTCATATAAAACAATATGTACACTGTCTTGAATGTAATTATAATTCAGTTCATAAAATCTAGAAGGCCAGGATAACAACATAATGGCATAAAAATGACAACAGGCCAGGGAAAATCTTTGTTGGAAGTCAAAAGCATATTTTGGTATAGCAAAGCTTTTAGTAATATAAAATATTAATATCACTTATAATATAAAGGATATAATATACTGAGAGCTTCTGCTCTCTTTTTGCTGAAGATCAGGTCTCCCACCCTTTCCTTACATCTTATAAATCCTAAGTCTTCTAAGTTTCTAAGTTAAGTTCTTCTCCACAAGTTCTGTTTTATTTTAGAAACACTCCCAATGGATAGGGAATCATGGAGAGGCAATACCTGCTCTTAGTGCTGCTGCTTAGTATTGTTCAGATGTCTAGTATTTCTGAACTGGCCTGGTCTCAGGGTTTGGTCATGTATTTTACAGCTATTTCAGTTGTTTACTGTTGAAAGGAGTAAATAATCTTTCTTCTTTTTATACTCAGGGAAATTACCTTTAGTTTATAGAGATGAGAATGTCCTTAGACATGTTTTCCATCTCTCCCCAAGAAAATATGACCCTACCAATATAATCAGCATTTTAAATAATCTTGCTCTGTATTATTCTAATGTGCATTATAGTTTTATTCCTCTTTTTTATTTTTATTTTAAATACTTAAAATTCATAAAAAGTTATAAAAATAGTACAGAAAGATCCTTTGTATGGTTCACCCAATATCCCACAATGATTACATTTTATATACGTATAGTACAATTTCAAAACCAGGAAATTGATAGTAGTATATATGTAGTTCTATGCCGTTTTATTATTATGTAGATTCCGGCAACAACACCGTATTTAAGATGCAGAATTATTGCACCACTACAAAGTTCTGCCTTGTGTGCTGCCTTTTTTTTTTTTAAGATTTTATTTATTTATTTGTCAGAGAGAGAGAGAGCCACTGAGGTCAGATCACAGAGATCCAATTCATGAATAAATAATAAGGCCAGTTAGATGTTATGTTTTAAGAGTATGAAGAAAACTTAAAAATCTGAAAAATGAATGAATGAATATTGCAAATTGAGGGCCTACCAAATATAAAACTAAAAAGGAAAATAATAAGACCTAATGTTTGTATTTCAAAACTAAAGATAAAAACGTAGCCAGTTTGCAGGGAGAAGAAAAACAGCATTAGAATATTAAGTAAGCTTCAGATTTTGGAAAAATATATTACAGAGCACAAGTAGTGCACTTCAGAAAAAGGTTATGCCCTCATATTTTATATCTAAACAAATTTTTATTCATATACCAAGGTAAATTTTCAGACCTTCCATCCAGTTATCTTTGTAAAATTGCATTTTTTAAAAATAATGCATTCCAAATACTTGAGGGAGAGATTTAAAAATAACTCAAGAATTAAGAGGTAAAGGGGGCACCTGGGTGACTCAGTCAGTTAAGCGTCTCCCTTTGGCTCAGATCATGAACTCAGGGTCCTGGGATCAAGCCCCGCATAGGGCTCCCTGCTCAGGAGGGAGTCTGCTTCTCCCTCTCCCTCTGCCCTTCCCTCTAGCTCATGCTTCTCTCTCTCTCAAATAAATAAAATGTTTAGAAAAAAAATTAGGAGGTAAAGATTAAAATGAATGAAGAGTGAAATGAAAACCATTTTGGGGGCGCCTGGGTGGCCCAGTCGGTTAAGCGTCTGCTTTTGGCTCAGGTCATGACGATCCCAGGACCCTGCTTGGTGAGGAGCCTGCTTCTCCTTCTGCTTGCTGCTCCCCCTGCTTGTGTGCGTGCTCTCTCTCTCTCTTCTTCTCTGTCAAATAAATAAAATCTTAAAAAAAAGAAAAAGGAAAGAAGACCATTTTTAGGTAGGCTAGATGAGAGAAACTTAGTAATGGGAGAAAATTTATTGCATCTTATGTAATTATATATCATTTGAATGTTGGACTTTTTGAATTTATACATTTTTATTTTCTTGAAATTGAAAGTTTTTAGTTTTTAAAATTTTAAATTACTATTAAATTCTTGAAAATGTTTACATTAAGTAAAATACAGGTTTGAGGAAGGAAATGAGTATCCTGAAGAAGTCGTACTGAAGTTTTAATCTTCTGCAAATGGATATTAAAATTATTTTTAAAATTATTTTGATATACTTACATAAATTATAAAATGTTTATGAAATGCTTTAAGATAACTATTAGGTTAGAATAATGTATCTTGCAAAAGATAAAATTTAAGGGACGCCTGGGTGGCTCAGTCGGTTAAGCGTCTGCCTTCGCTCAGGTCATGATCCCGGGGTCCTGGGATCAAGTCCCGCATCGGGCTCCCTGCTCCACGGGGAGCCTGCTTCTCCCTCTGCCTCTGTCTCTCATGAATAAA